TGAGTACGTCCTTTTTCCATGTGCTTCTACCACAAGGAAGCTCTTGGGTGAGGAGGAGTCCCTCCTTCCTGCTGCACTCTCAAGACTTCTCCAGCAGTAAGACAAGAGGGAAAAGGGTTGAGAGTTTGGTTGGTTTCTTTTTATAGAATAACATGCAAGCAGGGTTCCTTCCAACGAGGGTTCATCCTGCCAAGAGTCCAAGTCAACCAATTTATCCTGCAGCCTCTGTCATTATAACTTAGCCTTTTGCTGTGTGACCTTAGGCAAGTCACTTAACCCCAAATGCCTCACCAAAAAAACAAAAACAAATACAAAAAACAAAACAACAACAACAAAAAAAAAACCCTTAGCCTCCAAGGGAGGGGTTCTTAATCTTTTTTGTATCATGGATCCCTTTGGCAGTCTGTAAAACTTAAGAATCCCTTCTGAGAAAAAACTACTTTTATATACATAGAATAGATAGTATCACAAAATAAATTTTATTGAAATATAGTTATCAAAATATTTTCAAAAACAAGTTCCTGGACACCAGGTTAAGAACTTCTGCTCTAGAGACATGCTGGTATACTTTACAGGGAGATGCAATCAAAAGTCCTAATGAAAAGCACAGAAGTTCATTATATTGATTCATTCATCAAGTATTTATTAAGAATCTACTATGTGTCACGCCTTGTGCTAGTGGCTGGGATATAAAGACCAAAACAAAACACTTCTTACCCTCACACAGCTTGCATTCTATTGGGAAGAAGCAACATATATACCTAAAAATAAATCTAAAATATATACAAAGTGGGTTAAAGGGTAGCTAGGGGGTGTAATGGATAGAGCACATTGCTTGGACTCATCTTTTTGAGTTCAAATTTGGCCTGAGACACTGACTAGCTGTGTGACCCTGGACAAGTCACTTCACCCTGTTTGCCTCAATTTCCCCATCTGTAAAATGAGCTGAAGAAGGAAAGGGCAAACCACTCCAGTATCTTTGCCAAGAAACTCCAAATGGGGTCATGAAGAGTCAGACACGACTGAAACAAATGAACACCAACAACAGGTTAAAGATAATTTCCAAAGAGAAGCCTCTAGCAACCAAGGGAATCCAGATAGGCCTCCTGTAGGAAAGGACACTTGAGCTGAGTTTTGAGGCAAACCTGAGAAGTAGTGCATATCCAGGCATGGGGGCCAGCCTATGCAAAGACCAAAGATGGTTTGTCATATATAGAGAATAGCAAATGAATTCTTTGTTGCTCAGTCATTTTTTGGTCATGTTTGAGTCTTGGTAACTCCATTTGGGGTTTTCTTGGCAAAGATACTGGAGTGGTTCGACATTTCCTTCTCCAACTAATTTTACATATGAGGAAACTGAGGCAAATAGGATTCCGTGACTTGCCCAGGGTCACACAGCTAGCAAGTGTCTGAGGCTGGATTTGAACTCAGGAAGATGTCTTCCTGACTCCAGGCCAGGCACTCTATCCATTGCACCACCTGTCTGCCCCAGAAAACAAATAAGCAAGTTTAATAAAATGTAGAGTATGTGAGGGAGAGAAATGTATATTAAGCTTTCAAATGTAGGCTGGAATCTGATTGTAAAGGGTTTTTAAGCCAAACAAGGAACAGCCTTGATTAACTGCACTCTTGCCCCAGTTAATTATTAGTAGTCCTTGACAATGAAATAGCAATGCCTTTGGGTGCTCTGGTCCACAGCCTCAATTCTGAGGAGCTCTCTGGAGCTGTGGGAAGGCAGCTCGCTTGATGCAGGAACTGCCATTTGGGGAATTGCTTTCCCCACAGCCGTCTATGCACGAAGTCCACTGCAGTGTACATGAGACACTCCCCAAATTAACAATCCATTGTGAGAATCTGTACCTCTCATAGCTGATGGCCCTTGGGCTTACACTCATTTCCACCCCCCCCCAAAAAAAAACCACACCATCATACAAAGTTTCTCTAGGCCTATGTCTGCTATTGCTTGTCAGGATCTCTCTCTGTCTCTCTACACACGCACACACATACACACACACAGAGATATATATACACACACATATATATACATAAGTGTATGTGTGTATGTATGTAGCACACATTTACGTAGTGCTTTAAGGCTTACAAAGAACTTTACAAATAACTCATCTGATCCTTACAACAACCCTGGGAGATAGGTGCTATTATTATCCCCATTTTATAGATGAAGAAACGGAGGCAGGCAGAGGGTAAGTGACTCACCCAGGGTCTCCCAGCTGTAAGTGTTTGAGGGTGGATTTGAGCTCAGGTCTTCCTGACTCCAGACCCAGTGTTCTATGTACTCTTCCACCTTTCCTTTTTTTGAGGAAAGCAAAACTAAAAAGGGAAAGTGAAACTAGAATCTTTTATTAGGAAAAAGGGATAAATGAAATGGGCCAGAGTGTTGTAGTGGCCTGATTAAGAGCAAGAGAATTCAAAGGTTACCTTTCAGAGCTGAGCACCCTGGGGACAAAGTAAGAGTTCCTGTGGGAAGGGGATGAAGAAGATGGACAGAACATGGGCAGAATGGCTTGGAAATGACTTGGAGGCTATGGGTCACTGCATTTAATCTGAGTTCAGTTGATTTTTAGTGTTGTTTTCATTTACATTATGTACTCATTGTGTATATTGTTTCACTGTTCTTTCTTTATTCTACACCAATAATCCTGTGTTTCTCTGAATTTCTTATATTTGTTTTGTCTTACGGAGTAATATAATCCCATTACATTCAAATCCCACAGTTTATTAGGCCATTCCCCAGGTGTTGGATACACACTTGGTTTCTAGATATTTTTTCTGGGCAGCTAGATGGTACAATAGATAGCACACCATTCAAATCCAGCTTCAAACACTTATTAGCTGTATTTCTGGGCAAGTCACTTAACCTCTGTTTGCCTCAGTTTCCCCATTTGTAAAAAAAAAAATAATACCTCCATCCTCCCAGAGTTGTCATGAGGATCAAATGAGATAATATTCGTAAAGCACCTAGAACATATTAAGTGCTTTATACATTTTAGCTATTATTATTGCTATGGCAAAAAGTGATAGGATAAATATTTTAGCATATCAGTCATTTACTAAGCACATACTCTGTGCCAGGCACTGTGCACACAAAAAGAAGCAAAAGATAACCCCTGCCTTCAAGGAGTTTACAATCTATGGGAATTGTCTATCCTCCATCTTTTCAGAGTATTGATCTATCAGTGGGATATTTCTAGGTCTAAGAATTTCTGTTTAGTGATGTCTATTGCATAATTGTGATGAATGTTAGCACATCAATTAACAATCATCTTTCTGGCACTTACTACGTGCCAATCACTATTTGAAACACCAGGGAATACAAAGATGAAAGTTAAACAAATGGGGCCTGTACTCAAGGAGGTTACATTCTCAAAGGAGAGGCAACATGTAGACATGCAAGAATATACAGATTCCACAGAAAATGAATATTAGGTAGTTTGGGGAGGGGGGCATACCAACAACTAGAGAAGCAGGACAGTCTTCATGAGGAAGGTAGAGCTTGGACTGTCTTGTAGGAAAGCAGGGCTTCAAGGGGCAGCTAGGCGGCACTGTGGATGGAGCACTGGCCCTGGAATCAGAAGGACCTGAGTTCAAATCTGGCCCGGCCTCAGGCACATAATGCTTACTAGCTGTGTGACCTTGGGCAAGTCACTTAACCCCATTGCCAACCCCCCCAAAAAAAAAGGAAAGCAGGGCTTCAGAGAAGCAGAAGGGAGAGGGGGAGTGAATTCCAGGCATGTGAGATAGACAGTGCAAAGGCAGCCAGATGTGAAGTCTGGTGTTGTGTATGTGGAACAATGAATAGGTCAATATGGCTGGATCCTGTGAAGTGGTAGGACAGAACCAGTCTGTGAAAAGATTTGAATGTTAAGCAAAAGAGTTTATATCTGGCCCTCTAGGTGATAGGGAACCATTGGAATTTGTTGAGCAGAAGGGTGACACCAGAACAGTGTTTTACAAAAATCACTTCTATTCCATCTGTCAAGATGGATTAGAGAGAGGACTGAGGTAAGGAGACAACTACAATAAATAGTCCTGGCAAAAAGGTGATGAGGGCCTGAATTAGGGTGATGGCTGCATGAATGGCAAGAACAGAAATATTAGAGATCTTATGGAGATCAAAATGATGAGATTTGGCAACTGATTATATGGAATGAATGAGAGTGAGGAATTGACACCAAGATTTTGAACTTGAATGATTGAAAATATGGTAGTTCCCTTGATAGTGAAAAAGGGAGTTTGGGAGAGAAGTGAGCGGGGGTGGGGTGGATAATGAGATGTCTTTTGTACATACTGAATTTGAGATGCTTATAGGACATCTAGTTGGAAATGTCCACTAAGCAGATGGTTATGTAAGACAGGAGCTCAGGAGAGAGACAAGGAGAGAATGTATAGCTCAATCTAGGAGGGATCGGCATAGAGATGGTAATCAAACTCATGAGAGCTGATGGGAGTCACAGAAAGAGTGTAGGGAAAGAAGAGAAGGCTTGAGACAAAGCTTTGGCAAATACCCATGGTTAGTGGACGTGCTGTTGAAATGTCAACTCTTACTATCTTGTGGAATTTAGTCTGATGCAACTTTAAATGGCAGATGACCAGTCACAATATAAGCAATTGCAATTTTAAAAATAAATGCATAGATTTTAGTCCGGTGAATGTTGCGTAAGACTGCATGTGTAACACGTACGTAGATGAACCATTAGATGTAGTAGAAACAGCATTGGTTTTAGAGTTGGGAGTCTTAGTTTAAATTCTGGTTTTGTGATTAGCTTACTAGGTATATGATAATGGGCAGGTCACCTACCTTTTTAGACCCTGTTTCCCTATACACAAAATGAGAGGAATCATGTTACCACACAAGGCTATTGTTGGGAAAGTGTTTTGGAAAGCCTAATGTGCCATATGAATGTGAATTGTTACCATTGTTTGGATAAAGAAAAATTAGATGATACAATTATACTTATACTAAGATTTTTATATTTCAGGTCAGACTACAGCCATATGTCCTCTACCAGCAGTAAGTATCACTTGAAAAACCATTCTTCATTTTTTGTTTTGTTTTGTTTTTTTGTTTTGCTTTTTGCTAGGCAATTGGGGTTAAGTGACTTGCCAAGGGTCACACAGCTAGTACGTGTTGTGTGTTGTGTGTCTGAGCCCACATTTGAACTCAAGTCCTCCTGACTTCAAGGCTGGAGCTCCATCCTCAGCGCCACCTAGCTGCCCCATTCTTCATTTTCTTAAAAATTATTCCTCTCCTTGTTTCTATCTCTCTACTGTACATGTGGGACAGTGGAAGGACCACTGGATCTCAAGTCAGACCTGGACACAAATCTGCCACCTGTTATTTGTGGGGCCATGGGCAAACCTGTTAACCTCTCTGAGCCTCAGTTCTCTCATCTATAAAATGGGAGTGACAATACCTGCACTACCTTCTTCATACATTTGCTGTGAATAAAACACTTTGGATATTCTAGAGTACTACGTAAATGTGAGGTTACTATTTTATTAAAATAGTGTATAAACCATAAAATGTTCTTTAAATGTGAGATTATTAATAATGGTGAAAATAACAACAATAATGCATCACCAGATTTATCCCAAAATCAAATGCTAAAGACCATACCTATACCTTAAAAGTTCTTTGATGGAGGAAGGGATCTTTTTTTTTGTTTTTTGTTTTTTGGCTAGGCAATGGGGTTAAGTGACTTGCTCAGGGTCACACAGCTAGTAAGTGTTATGTGTCTGAGGTCAAGTTTGAACTCAGGTCCTCCTGAATCCAGGGCCGGTGCTCTATCTACTGTGCTACGTAGCTGCCCCTGAGGGGATCTTTAATAGGCAATATGGAGTAAGTGGGAAAAAAAATCACTGTAATTTGAGTCAGAAAAACATTTTGCAAGTGAAAGGAGCGTGCATTTGGAATCAGAGATGTGGATTTGAATCTTGACTCTGCCCTTTACTGTCTATGTGACTATGGACTCAGCCTTTCTAGGTCTTAGTTTGCTCATCCATGAAATGGGGATATTGGGGTAGATGGTTTCTAAGGTTGCTTCTAGCTCTAGGTGTGTGATCCCATGACTTGATTTCAAGCCATGGACCCATTATTTACTACCTTTGGGTTGTCAGAACTGTGTGAATTCCTTTATCTGATCACAATCATTCCACCTTTCCCCTCTGCCTTGCAACCCCAAACAAAGCCTATTCTTTGTCTTCACCACAATCTCCCATTCTTCCACCCCTCCATTTTGTTTTGTTTTTGGCTAGGCAATGGGGTTAAGTGACTTGCCCAGGGTCACACAGCTAGTAAGTGTCAAGTGTCTGAGGCCGGATTTGAACTCAGGTCCTCCTGTCTCCAGGGCTGGTGCTCTATCCACTGTGCCACCTAGCTGCCCCAAACACCCTTCAGTTTCTTGCCAGGCCATCACCACTACACTGGTTTTGGTCTCCTCCCTTACCCATCTTGACCCTTGATGAAACAGTTCAACTCTATACTGGCCTCTTCTCTTGGGTCCCTAGCCTTCTTGTCCTATTACCTATCTTGCCCTGTCAGCCCTTGCTCTGGATTATTCTCAGCTTTACTGCCTTAACTCCTATTTACATGATCCTGAAAGAAGCTGGAGGCAACCATGAAACTACCGACTGGGTCCACTACAAACTTATGTCACATAATCTCAACCGTGCCCTCACTGCAGCAAGGCAATCCTTTTATACCTTTCTAATTAACTCACTTTAGGGCAGCTAGATGGTGCAGTGGATAGAGCTCTGGGCTTGGAATCAGGCACACTCGTCTTCATGAGTTCAAATCCAGCCTCAGACACTTGCTAGATGGGTGACCCTGGGCAAATCACTTCGCTCTGTTTGTCTTAGTTCCTCATCTATACAAATGAGCTGGAAAATGAAATGGCAAACCTCTCCAGTATCTCTGCCAAGAAGACCCCAAATAGGGTCACAAAGAGTCGGGCACGACTGAAAATGACTAAGCAACAATAACAAATTGACTCACTATCCTGCTCACCGCAATGGATTTTGTAAACCATTACATCCCTCCTCAAGCCTCCCATGGTGCCTCTACCTCCCCTCCCCCGCCCCATACTCTCAGCTGAGAATCTTACTTAATATCTCACTGAAAAAAATTGAGGCCATTTGCCAAGAGCTCCCTCTTTCCTCCTCCTCCCTCATCTCACTTTACTCCGATCCCTTCTGCCACTATCTTCTCCTTCACCCCTGTCTCACATGAAGAAATTACCCTTCACCTCACCAAGGTAAACCCCTCTGCATGAACAAGTGAACCCATCCCATCCTATCTTCTCCAAGAGATTGCCCTCCATCATCCTCGCTCTATCATTTCTCTTTAATCCTTCCTGTCTACTGGTTATTTCGCTCCTGCCTACAAATGTGCCCTTGTCTCCTCTATCCTCAAAAAACCCTCGCTTAATCCATCCACCCCTACAAGCTATTGTTCCACATATCTCTGCCCTCTTGTGGCTAAACTCCTTAAGAAAGCTATCTGTAATCAATGCCTTTACTTTCTTTGCTTTTCATTCTGGTCTTTTACTCTCTAGTCTGGCTTCTGACTTCATTATTCAACTGAAACTGTTCTCTCTAAATTTACCAGTGATTTCTTAGCTGCCAAATCTAATGGCCTTTCCTCCATCCTCATCTTTCTTGACTTCTCTGCAGCATTTGACGTTCTCAGTCACCCTCACCTTCCTGATACTCTCTTCCCTGTAGGTGTCTGTGACACTACTCTAGCCTGGTGGTTCCTTCCCTCTCTGAGTGGTTACTCAGTTTCCTATGCTGGGGCTTCAGTCAAGTTACACCCCATAACTATGAGTATCTCCCAGGGCGCTCTGTCTTGGGCTTTCTTATCCTTTCCTTCTCAACTATTTTGTTTGGTAATCTTACCAAACTCCTATCTACCATAGAGTCAATGAGCATCTCTATAATAATGATTCTCAGATCTAATTATCCATCCCTAACCTATCTCCTAACTTTCAGACTTGAATCTCCAACTGCGTATTTGACATCTTTAACAGGATATCCTATAGACATCTTAAACTTAACTTATTTAAAACAGAATTCTTTATCTTTCCCCCAAAGCATTCCCCTTTCCTATCTTTCCTATTACTGTATGGGGCACCACCATTTTTCTAGTCACCTAGGCTTACAACTCCAGGTGTCATCCATGACTCTTCACTTTCTTTCATCTCACATGTCCATTCTGTCATCTTGTCCTGTTGGTTTTACCTTCAAAACATCTCTCATATATGCCCCTTTCTTTCTTTGACATTGCCACCACTATGGTGCAGACCATCATCTTTTCACTCCTGGACTATTTTGAAAACCTGCTGGTTGGTCTTCCTGCCTTGCGTCTCTTTCCTTCTAGTCCTTCCTCCACTCAAGTGTCTAATTCATCTTCCTAAAGCACATATCTGAGCATGCCACCCCTCTATTCGAGCAACTCCTTCCTATCACTTGCAGAATGAAATACAAAATCCTCTGTTTGACTTTCAAGACTCCTCATCTCCTGGCGCCCTCTTATCTTTCCAGTCTTCTTACATTTGGCTCCCACCTCCCCCATACTCAGCAATCCAGTGACACTGGCATCTCTGCTCTTCCTTGCACAAGACTTGTCCATCTCCTGACTCTGGCCATTTTCACTATAGTCTCTCATGCTCAGAATGATCTCTCTCCTTATCTCCACACCCTGGCTCCCTTGGTTTCCTTCTTGTCCCAGCTAAAATCTCACATTCTATAAGATGCTCTTCCTGATACCCCTCAAAGCTAGCGCTTTCCCTTGGAGATTATCTCCAATTTATCCTATATGTATTTTGTTTCTATATAGTTGTTTGCATTAAACATTAAACTGCGAGCTCCTTCAGAGCAAGTCTTTTGCCTTTCTTTATATCCCTAGGGCTTGATACAGTGCCTGGCACATAGTGGGTGCTTAGTAAATGCTTCTTGATTTGACTTGATTTCTTGATTTCTCTTGGGAATCAGTTTCCTCATTTATAACATGAGACTGTGAAATGACCTCTAAGTCCCCTCTGATCCTTGAGGTAAGGCTCTGTGATCCTTGAGTTTAATTACCTTGAAGGGATGGGGAATATGGAAGAAAATTTGTTAGGGTTTTCATCAAGGTCACCTTTGTAATAAAGCATCTGAAGACGGAAGTCCATTAAGGGCAGACAGAAAACAAATTCCCTGGATCCATTTGGTTGTACTCTCACCTAATTTACCAAGAAGCCTCATGAGATTTCCCCCTCTAATGTGTCTGTATCTGTAGAGAGTTGTGGTTGTGTTTAAAAGACATTCAGTATTTAGAGAAACCTTTTCCTGTGAATGAATCCTTTAGACATAAACATCAGTATAGATGAGGAGAATGTAGGCAACTTTTTTTTAACTTTAAACATGATCTGAAATAGAATAAGAATAATGAGACAGTAGAAAGAATTTTGAAAGAGAAGCCTCAAATAACATGCTTTCACCTATGTCTAAAGGCTTTTCTAAGTTTTTTCTTAGCCTGAAGTTGGTCTTCAAATGAAAGCAATAGAAAAATGATTGCTTTTGTCAGCCTTGTGTCAGAGATTTGCTCCTGAAATGAAGAACTAGTTACGCTTCGAGGACCATTTATTTGCCTGATTTATTGTCCCTACCTATGGGGACTAGCTTGTCTTCTATGCAGCGAGGCTCACCAGGGTCCAAACATAGGCCAGTCTGACAATATTGCCCTGGGTAAGGGTGAGAGATGGCAAGGAAGGAAGATTCTTCTCAGTGGTACTTCCCTCTGCCGTCCCTTTATGGGGACTATTTGGGGCTAGACTGCTCTGCTGCAGGTCCCCTTAGTGCCTCTCCTCCCCTGGCTGCCCTCACTGTATTCTGTAGCCCCTTCTTGTCTTCTTTCTGATGGTGCTGCCCAGCTGGGATCAGCTGCTCCCCGCAGCAGATGGCACTTGTTCTGAACTCTTCTGGGACTCATGAGACAAATAGATGGCTAGCCCTGCCCCAAGTTTAAAGATG